TAATCCAAAGTTAAGCATGGACATAACTGGTTAAAATTAGAAATTAAAACCACTAGTTACAATGACATACTAAATCTGACTTTTTGTGAATAAAACTGTTCATTAGAGTTGATTTTTTTTCTCAGATACTCCATATCTGGGAATCATAGAATTCAGACAGAAAGAAACTTAGACCATTTGTATACTGCTTGTATACAAATCAGTGAAATCTTCTAAGGCTCCTAGGCTGCAGCCTCCTATATACAAAACCAATAATAAATATAACACATTATTTTTCAAAAAAAAAAAATACAGAATAGAGTTTGTGTTTTATTATCTTTATTTCATGCTCTGTAGCCTTATTGTTCAGATACAGTAACACCAGTTCCTGTTTAATTCTTAGTTCGGAGAGGACATTGCCAAGAATTACAAAAGAAGTAAAAGCAACCGTTAATCATGTCAAAATAAAAGAATGTTAAAAAGTGCTTTTTAAAAAAATAGATGAGCAGTTCATAGAATTATCCAACCATATGTTGTCACATTAACAATTAGTGAAGTATTCATGTTGGGATAGGGAATGTGAAGATATTGAGTCTGCCTTCTAAACATTGGCTGTCATTTTCGTCTTTCAAACTGCTTAATCAAGAATGTATGTTTCAACACAACCAAAAGTGCCTCCCCTATTTTATCTAACTATGCAGGATCTGAGGCCTTGAACCTGGCAAAATAAAACCAACAAAATGAAATGTATTGCCTGAAAATAAAGTATTCATTAGCTGCTTTAATTCTGGGAGTTATTTAATTCTCTATCACTTACTATGAAACAACTATTAGAATGTTAGGAAATGAAGATGTACTCTCCAGACAGAGAAATCATTGCAAAATTTAAAGATATTTGAAGTTATAGCATGGAAAAACTGGAAGAAGAATAAATATTGGCTTATTTATAGTGACACTGAGATAAACAATGTGCTTTTTGAAAAATTGTATTCCAAAATTGTAGTGTAGCTAACAAATATTCTATATCTCAATAAAGTGTTTGATCTGATATTGGAAGAGGAAATTAGAAAAAAAATACCGCATGATTACAAGTTATAGAAAGCATATGGTTTCAAAAATTCAAGAATATAGGAGTTTTATTTCTGTTCTCTATGATGTTGTTATGAAAATAATAGCTGGCCATAATATGAATATTAAAATATTGAATTCTTTATGATGATAGGCAAAAATTATTAAAGACAGCTTAAACAGTTATGCCTAACTATGGATTTCTATCCATAGTAGAATTTTGAGTCTGGAATTATTATTGTTTAGTAGTAGTAATTATTGTTGGTCACATAAACACATGTTTAAACTGGGTTTGGCATTTTTATCCACCTATTGAATCCTCCCCAAGTTGTTATCTGTTCACAACAATGTAAAGTCATAACTGCAATTCTTTTGGTTGGTGTTGGCCTTCATGTGCATCAAGTTCTTCTCAAGAACCAAGGATATCATAATGTATATGTGTGTATCCAAGCATTGTGGCTTGCAAGTGATAGATGCAAATTTTGTCGATGCATAGTTTTACATGTTATTCAAGACTTTTTTGGATGACTCCTAGTATGGGACCACCATAGCCATTTTTTGCCATAAAGAAGTCATACTTTCTCATTCATAACATAATGCAGTAGTGAAATATCTTTTGTACCAGGTAAAGATGTATCAGCTAATTATGTGGATGCATTAACACTTCTGTTACATTACAGTTCTTGCACCATAGTAATAGTCCAAATAAGTACCAAAGAAACCACCAACAGAATTAAACCAAAGAATCATTTATATACAGGACCATTTTGATGGCTGCTGCTTCATATAACCTCTAATAGAACTTGCATTACTATTATAATTGTCAGATTTTTTTGATAATGCACAGAGGTTGCATGCTCAATTCTGTATGGATGTACTGATATTCTGAAGTAGCACTTCTACAACAATCTTTTCTAACTTTATTGTTCTATAATTCCCATGCTTTCATAAGTAGTTGTACCATAGGCCCATATATGAAGAAGCCTTTTGAGGAAGAATGTACAATCGTTTTTGATACAAGGGCTTAACTTCAATTACATGTCGGACACCCACTCCCCATGAAAATAGATAAACAAACTTTAAATGTTATTTTTCATTCCAATAATAAACTTTAAAGGTTATTTTATTTTTAATTCCAATAATATGTTTAATTTATTAGAATTAACCACAATTGAACAACATCCTAGAGCATTTAATTATGAGTTTCATCTGTGATGGCTATTTATTTACATCTAACAAGTAAAGATTTATGAGCAGGTGATAAACATGTTTTGGTGTGAACATTGCAGAAAAATAGCTCCAAAGTTAGGGACTGAATTTTTAATGTACATTGTATAAGATTCTTTGCAAAATTGTTGTAATCAGTAAGATAATTAATTTGGAATAATTAGATTCTCTGTAAAGAAAATCCAAACATGAGTAACGCATGACTCATAAAATAGTCATACCCCAAATTTAATGAATAAAAGCAGATTTTTTATTTGACAAGAACTGAGTTCTTTACTATGGGAAGCTTTGAAAGTATGACTGTTGATAAAACAGTAATCACAGTGCTTACTGGTATATATGGTTGCTAGACCAAATCATTTCTGGAAAATAATATTTTGTTTCCTTTCCATACTTCTTCCCAAAAGCAAATCATTCAACAATCATTTGTTTTTCATTCTCTGCCTGTCAACATCTATTATTGTAAAACAAAAATGACAAACACGATAGCATTTATCTATATAATTAATTATAATTAGTAATGCCTTAGTCTACAAATGCATAGTCATGGCATTAATATTTTACAAATGAAACAACTCAGATAGAGATCATCAACAATATAGCAGTTTCTCTAGAGAAACATAGTTTGGTCATTATGACATCAGTAAATGATGCTTGAAAACACAAATGACTAGTTTTAAAATACTTTCTTTTTTAAAACAAAAACATAATTAGTTTCTTGCTTGTGGTGGATTTATAAACCATCACAACTACCCGACAATGCAGTAAATGATGGCAAAAGAACAAAAATACAATAATAAAAACTAAAGAATATCTACTCTTATAGACACCAGGAGATTGGTTATATTGAATACAGTATATTAAACAAATATTCCAATGCCAAAAGAAAAAACATTTAAACATCCCACTCCCAAGGTTTGCTGGAACAGCTAGGTTTCAGCAAATTTTCTATAAACTTATTATAGAAATACAGATTTCTATAAAAAAATACTATTCTACAATAATTGAGAAGACTCACTTCTGTGATCTTTATTATTTGATGCAAGGATATGGAGAGAATCTGCTGTACCAGATCTTAGTGGATGGACAGATAAAATTGGATCTTTAGATAGGTCTAGAGGTCTCAGGTCCTGACTTGTGTATAAGGCTTTAAAAGAGACAACCAGCGCCTTGAAAGCCAAATGGCAACCACTGCAGTTCTTGAAATAGTGATGTTATATGGATGAATCAAGACGTATCTATGACTATTCAAGTTGCTGAATTCTGGATCAGTTATATTCTCTGACTGCTCTTCAAAGACATCCTCATGGAGAATACATTGCCAAATCCAAGTAAGAGATAAACAAGGCATAACTTGTAATTATCATAACTTGGTTTCTGTCAGTTCAAAAGGACTTGCTCAACAAGTATCTAGCTCTGGATCCTAGCAATGTTTTCCTCCAGATGCCTATACAATTTTCACAGAACATCTTCTGGCCTATCTTTCTCTAATATGGTCTGGGTCAATTTAAGAAGGCTCTGGTGACTTGCAGATATAATAACTCAAATAAATAGTAATGCTATTATTACTATGGTGTAGACGCAAATATAAGTTTTATTTTGTGTCTTCCACTAGCAGCACTCAAGAGGTTTCCTAATTCAGTTCATCTCTCAAATTGCCTTAGGAAACCAAGCTGCCCTAAACTGACAACTGGGAAAGCGCACTCATATGCAATGCTATTTCTTTCCTATTCCTGCAGTAAACTAAAGAATCTGTCCACCATGGTCACAAGAAATTCTCCAATTGCCCTTTGGAAGCCAAAGGATTCTGATAATGTTTTGAGAGGGTAAACTACATATGTCTACTTTTCCTGAAGAGATTGATGGCACTAGTCAACTCAAATGCAATCAGGAATGATATTACCATGACAAGGGACAGATGATAATGTCTCCCAGCTCAGATCATGTCATCTCTGCTCTCAGACAAAAATCAAATCAAATCTAAAAGTGGCCATTTTTTATTTCCAGATATTTTTTGCCTAGACTCTTTGAAAACTGAATAATTTAACCTTGAAAATGAGGTCATCTTAGTCATGCTGCTTTTAGAACTTTAAAAGCTCTGATATGGGACAGTTCCATAAATACAATAAACCTAGAAAGAGCCTGGGGCAAAGAGGATACCAATAGCATGATATAAAATATTTAGAGAATAACTCCTATTTGGTTGGAGATCTAAACAAAGCCTCTGTTAATATAATATTATGAAACGTATGTAACACTTATTTTGAAAGCTGGTAAACATCCTTTGAGCACATCATTGTTAATATGGCTTTTAAATGTTAATGCTAAGACTTCGTCAAAAACATTACAGAAAGTATTACAGTGTATTCAATCATTCATCCAGCACAATTTGGTTTAAATAAAGGATATTTGATTATATGACACTTTCAGCAGACATGTGAGTTCCCTGTGCAGATAATATGGATCAGCCAGTTTGGCAACATCAGATGCAGCAAAAAAAAAAAATGTTATGGTAAATCAAGTTTCTGATGCTGATGATATACTGTAGAACATTAAAAGATTACATTAGCCATAATTACTCTTAATCAGATAATAAATAGTAAAAATAGTAAAATTGGAAAGGAATATAATTTATTATATGATATCAAATATATACATTTGTATACAGTTAATACAATTAACTACATTTGCTATATTCCCTGTTCCACTTTAATATCTTACTGGCTTCCAAAATTACAGAAAATCAGACATATTTAAAACATAAGCATTAACAAGTATAAACATAAAATAAGGTTTTGGTACCGAAGAAGTGAAAAATTAGAATTATAACTTATCTGGAGGTTCACTATGTAATTTTCTTTCTTTGGAAGATTAATTTCCTTTAATTTTTTAAAAAGAAATCTGCCTTTTTTATAATCACTCTCAAAGTCTCTCTCTTCCCATCTTTCTGTTTTTCATTTAATCATATTTTTTTAAAAAAATCAATATACTTTATAAAATATGCACACATGCTCCCATTGCTATAAAACCTAAATAAGATAGTAGCTGATAACTTAAATTTACAGTTAAAGTTACTTTTCTGCATCAAGTTTCAGTGGTAAAATTAGAGGTAACATTAAAAAAATTACAATTATTATATTTTTGCTATTATAGAAACTTGCATTAGATTTCCTTCAACAAGCATCAAAACAGCAGCTTCATTTCTGTTTACAACCAAAAGGTTTCTAAATATCTTAGGACAGATGAGAAAAATAATTTAGGATGCTAAAATAAAAAAAGTACAAGAAATAAAAGTATGTTCATTAGGAGTTAGCCACAATATATCCCTTGGTAGATCTTTGCTTCCAGTATTTATTTAAGTAAACTCCTCCTATGATGAGAACAGCCAGGGCCACAGGAGTAACTGCCAAGTACCAAGACAACTGGCGGTCTTTTAAAAAAGAAAAAAAAACCCCAATGTTAGACATCGTACTCTGCACTGTTTAAATCATTGTTTTTCTAAGCTCCCTGGTTCCCACAAACACAAGTTTTATCAGTAGCAGATGGAATACAAAACAACAACATGCCATATCTATGGCAATAAAAAGAAACTTGGTTAAATTTTGTAAGAATATACAATCACTGCAGAGCTTTAAACTAGGGCAAATCAGATGCTTCCAACATGTGTAACTGAATAATAGCCTAACAACTGCAAACTTTTCTCCCCTTCAATGCAGTCCTTTGCTCTTAAAGGTGTGTAATCTTTTTAGCTATCATGTTGCACTGATATAATGTAATTAATCTAATCTATGACCCTTCGGGTGACATTAGGATACATTCTTGCACCTCTGCCAACTCATATATGGTTGTGAAGTTCCCAAGCCACTTTTACATGGAATGAAGAGATACTTCCATTTGCTGCTACAAACTCCCCACTGAAGTAGAATTCCTTCAGTGTTTTGGTGTACAGATTATAGGGCAAGCTATTGCCCAACAGAACATTAAAGTTCTCACAAAACATTGGACTCAATAAATAATTTCAGAAAACCTCACCAAGCCAGGTTGGGAAAGATATTGGTGGGATGTTTATTTCAATCTAATAAAATTTAGTCAAGAGTAATCTGATTCTTACATCAGTTTCCTGCCCACAACCCTTGAAAAGTCAGCCTTGCTCCAGATTCTTTGCAAAGGCAACTGAACATCCCAAATACCTGACTTGGGTCAATGTAGCAATGTAGATGCTAATTGTATAGCTTATAAAAATCAATGTGATTGGTGTGGAAAAGCTCACCTAAGAAGCTCACCAAATGAGATTTAATGGCTCTAGTAGAGATGTGGCATTTACTGGGGAACTAATCATGTTATCTGTTTGATGCATAGTAGTTTTGCATATTAGCTACATGTTATGGATTCCAGACAGAATTAAAAAAAAACCCAATTACATAGCAGTAATAAGCAAAATGTGGGATAGTCTTTGGCAAAATTGGTTAATTTTGTAATTTCCTCTCCTTTTTCTTTATAAACATGCAAAGAGAAATTGTAATTATTTGAAAGTAAAACAACTTATTAGAAATCATGTAATATACGCTGACCAGAAGTTATTCCATATATTTGGCCAGTTATTATCTTAACTTTCTTTCCATATTTACAAAATGAGAAAATGAATGGCCAATATCAAAGTCATCCGAAAAAATAATGAGGAAAAGATAAACACAATTGAGTTGTTATACAGACCTTTCTTTTTTTCCTTGACTGTCACTGTTTGTACACGATTCCCACTACCATTTTGTGCCACACATCTGAAATCAGTATGAAAATCATCTTCTGTGATAGAATCAAAGATCAATGGCACCTCAATAGATCTGTTGTTATTTTCTACAAATTTCCTAAGAGGAAATATAATCATTTATATTGTTAGACAGAGATGCAGAAGAGCTCAGAAAGAAAAGGGCAATTGACTGAGGAATGATATAGCCTGATTTTTTTTCATTTAGGAGAAAAATAAATCCAAATGCAAAATAAAATAAATAAATATCCTGCTATTTGAGTTTATTTCTTCTCACCTGACCTTTGCTGTTACTATAAGAAAACTTAAACTGAAAAAGAATTGATGTAACCACCTTATCACACATCCAGCTACATATCTCTTTTGCTCTGAAAATTATATAGCTCATCTATCACATTAAACTAGATTAAAGGGAAGACACAGATTTGGAAAAATGATTTTATTGTCATCCAGCATTTTACTTTGACTTTAATTGACACTAATATATTCACATATGTAATGTATCTTTGAAAAGTTCTCAGATTACCACTATTTAGATGTCAAGCCATTATTCCAAATGAAGTTGGAACAAATTATATTTGAGGTTAAGCAAGTCCATAATCTGGCAACTCTATGGAGATGTTCAAATACATATTCCATAAACACAGAACAGTGGAAATTAAAGTGCAATACATTCAAAAGTTGCATTTGAAGGAAAAGTTGTACAAGGCTTATAGAATACAAATCACAAACTATTGACTTGTAGGTCTCCTATAAAGATATTACCAGGTATAACTTAGCATAATATTTCAACAATATTTGAATTAGAAGTTTCTGTATCATCTAGACAATGGGATACTGTCTTAACCTTTATAGCATGGATATCAATGGACCTTAAACTACAACTCATACAACTAAAAATAATATTTATCATTTATTGGATTCCATTACTTTTGAACAGAAATGGATTGTCTAAGATAGCATTTTGAGGAGATGTAATGAGGACAATACTTCTTAAAAAGATGTGTTTTTGCAATGTCCTATACTTACTAACTTTTGAAAAAGAAAGAAACATAGTTGTGTGACAAAAGCTAAAAATTTCAGATGATAATATTCTTGTGAACTGTATACCTCATACTTGAAATTTGACAACCAAACAACATTCGATTCTCCATGTCCTCACTATGCCTAAAAGACAGATTTTGCAACATTGGAAAGATAAAATGTACGGTCCCATTTATTTAGTGGATTGAACACCAGATTACATTTGCCACATATGAATGCATTGCTTATAGATGTAGATTTTATATGGATAAACATAATGGAAAATGGGACTCATTTATATAAAGTATGTATGTTAAAGAAAACTATAAGATGTATTACTTATCTAATGTAATTATATATATATATGTTGTAATTTTCTCACTTATTTTTAAGCACTTGTGTTTTTTCTTTTTCTAGCTGGTGTTTTTTCCTGTTAATATTTTAAAAGCAATAAAAATAAATTAAAAAACAACATTTACCCAGTTTCTCCTTCCTTAATTCTTCTGTCTGGGTAAATGTTTTGTATATAACTGTTGTTAGCCAGCCACCAGACATCAAAATCAGAATGGTCATTTGCTCCAATAAAAACTCTACATGGGATGGTGAGTGGAGAACCTGTTTTGAAATGAAGTATAGAGTTAAGGAAAATAACAGAGAATATATGTCCACAGGAGCAAATCATCCCAACTTTGAATTTTTAAGGTATTTTCAAAAAAAATTTCTTCTTTTAGCAACTAGGATTAAGTAGCTATGAGGGTTTAATTTCACCATACTTACTGTTTTTGTTTATTTTTTATTAGTCCATGTATTAGCCAAGTATGTGCCAGAGAGTACTGATTCTAGCCAGAGAAGTAACTAGTTCTGTGATTAATTGCTTTCAGACAGACAGCACAGTTTGCAATTCTCATGCAGTTACTCTGAAATACTGTAGTCCTATTGGCTTTCAAATAGTTATGAGATGCAAGTAGGAATCCACTTTAGCAACTTCAAGTATGGAATTGGACAAGTACTCCAGTCAAACAGTTTCAACTAATCAGGAAGCCAATGTAAGCCTTTGATTTTCATTTCACCAAAGTATAGGGCATGTTCAAAGACCCAGCCTAAAGTCTTCAGGGGGAATAGGGATAATATTGCAGACTGTTCGTGACTAGCTGATATAAGTGCAACATCCCCCCCAAAAAAATACCAAAATATGAACAATCATCATTACCAAATGTTGTTGACCATTTGGCATTTGGGGATGGATAATTTGGCCACATTAGTGCAGGCAAGATTGCTTCCTCCCCCACCTCTGAAGTGAGGGAAAGTGAGCTTAAAACTGCTTTCCTTTTAGCAGTTCTAATCAAGGTGATTAATAATATCTATTTAACATTTGGGGTTTTTTTTCTTTTTTCCTTTTTTTTGTACACCATTTTTTTTCTTATTGTTAGTGTGGGATGTTCATTTTTCTGTTTTTCTGTTTTGTATTTTATTCTTGTTGATAAAAGAAAATATATATGTAAAAAGGTGACTAATATTGATCATCATACCATAATGCCTGATAATGGATAGTCACAGGAAGGATGATTTACAGCACTTGAATTATGACTATTCATGACTCCATGTTATGTGTTGTATGCACCATGGAACATCAGTATTTTTAACTAACTCATTTTATGCCCAATTTAGAGTTTAATTTAGTTTTACAACTGGCTTATCTTTTTGTAAATAAACAATATTTTACCGTCACATTACTATTTGTAAAATATTTACAGAATTTATTATTCCCTACAGATTCTTCAGACCAGCACTGAAGTCAAGAGAATTAAAGTATGCTGGTAATATCATTGAGATTTGAACAATTTATTTAGTGTCACAGTGCTTACCCAGTATAAACAGAATTAAGAAAGTTTCAAAGTTGTTTAACTAATCACTCCTTGAACTAGCAATACTACACCCCTTAACCACATTCCTCTTGAGTCATACTTCCATTCCAAGAGTCCAGAAGTCAATGCAGTTATTTTGTGCCTTTGTCTTATTCCTGCTGGGACATACACTCACTCCATTCATAAATGAAGTTCTTTATTAGGGTTATTATCTAGCCAGCTTGGTCTGATTCTTGAAAACCAGTCGTTAAATTTCTGCTCATCCTTCAAGGAAGAGACAGAGATCCAGCAGGCCAAGTTGAGCAGAGATCTCATGTTTTTCAGCAGCAAGTCCAGACTATTTTTTTTCATGCACTCATTCCTGAACCTCAATGAGGCACTTGTTATGCTAGGCTCTGTTGCTATTAGGGCTACTTCAGTTCCTTGCTGGAGCAAGATCCAGGACAAACATACAATGGGCTAGCCAACTGAAGGAGGAGGAGAAGAAACCATACCAGATCACATGCATCATGTGGCATTTCTACCTTCCTTCAAATAGTCACAGAATCAGACTCTCCCTTTCCTGTTCATGGTTGCGGGCAGAACTATGCATAAAATATTGCATTATGCAGATTGATTTCACTGTTTTCTCCCTTTGTATATCTTTGCCATAAAAGCAGCACAAAAAAAAAGAAGTGGTGGAAACTCTTCTTCCAATTCTCCCAAGGTTATAGCCTTGGGCAATCACTGCAAAGAATCCAGGAACTGGCATCAAACACCTGACTTGAATGCTTCCAAATAATTGTAGCTTTCATCATGAAAGCTAAGCAGCTTCTCACCATTTTGGGAAAACAGCAGCTTCTCAGCAAATTTTGGGAAAACCTTGATAGGGTCAGGGCTATCATTGGTATTAGAATAGAAGGCCATACAAAATCCTCAGACTATTGCAAGACCAGAATTAAAAAAAAAACTTCCCACAAGAAAGTATGCATTGGTAAATCACATCTTCATTGTTCCTAAGAGACAGCTGGAAGTGTCCATGAAGTCAACAAGAGTTTGACTCATTTACATTTTAGAAATTGATTTAAGGTTTAAATTCATTCAATATTTTGGAGTTTTGGTTTTTTAAAAAATTTGATACCTACTGAAAAGTCTTCTTCAAATCAAGCAAACCCACAGCTCAGCTATTCAGTGTCCCATCCAACTTCTTAGAAGGTGTTGAAACCACAGGAACTTTGGGGGGGGGAGTGATTATGCAGTATTGGAATTCAACATTATGCAAGCACAAGCAATAGAACACAGTCAAACTAGGGTCTTGGATTTTAAGAGACCTAATTTCAACAAAATTAAAGAGAGCTTGGGAAGGATTTCCAGGAGAAAACAACTCAAGAAGCTTGGGAAATTTTGAAAAGTGAAATTATAAAAGCACAGTCTAGCAGACTACCAACAAAGAAGAAAAATAACAGCTCTCAAAAGAAACCAGCATGGTTGCATAAAGAACTCTCTGATAAATTGAAAGACAAAAAGGATAAGTATAAAAAGTGGAAAGAGGGGCACATAACTAAGGCAGAATATCAGCAAATAGCCCGAGCCTGCAAAGATGAAGTGAGGAGAGCAAAGGCTCAAAATGAACTAAAGCTTGCAACAAAAATCAAAAATAACAAAAAAAGCTTCTTTCAACATAACTGCATCTACATGGAGGGAAGTGTGTAGTGGGGTGCCCCAGGGCTCTCTTCTGGGCCCAGTGCTCTTCAACATCTTCATTAATGATTTGGCTGAGGGGATAGATAGGGAACTCATCAAATTTGCAGACGATACCAAGCGGCAGGAATAGCCAACACTCCAGAAGATAGGCTTAAGATACAGAAGGATCTTGATAGACTTGAACATTGGGCACTATCTAACAAAATGAATTTCAATGGTGAAAAAAGGAAGGTTCTACATTTAGGCAAGAAAAACCAAATGCACAGGTGGTATCTTGCTCAATAGTAGCAACTGTGAGAGGGATCTTGGAGTCCTAGTGGACAATCACTTAAATATGAGCCAGCAGTATGCTGCAGCTGCCAAAAAAGCCAACACAGTGCTAGGCTGCATTAATAGAGGGATAGAATGAAGATCACGTGAAGTGTTAATACCACTTTACAATGCCTTGGTAAGGCCACACTTGGAATACTGCATCCAGTTTTGGTCACCACGATGTAAAAAAGATGTTGAGACTCTAGAAAGAGTACAGAGAAGAGCAACAAAGATGATCAGGGGACTGGAACGGTTTCTGGAATTGGGTATGTCTACTAATCTGAAGAGAAGGACGAGGGGTGACATGATAGCAGTGTTCCAATATCTCAGGGGCTGCGGAGTCAAACTATTCTCCAAAGCAAGGTAGGATAAGAAGCAACGGATGAAAACTAACCAAAGAGAGAAACAACCGAGAACTAAGGAGAAATTTTCTGACAGTTAGAACAATTAATCAGTGGAACAACCTGTCTCCAGAAGCTGTGAATGCTCCAACAGTGGAAGTTTTTAAGAAGAGACTGGACAGCCATTTGTCTGAAATGGCACAGAGTCTCCTGCCTGAGCAGGGGGTTGGACTAGATGACCTCCAAGGTCCCTTCCAACATTATTATTGTTGTTGTTGTTGTTGTTGTTGTTGTTTATCATCACACAGTCAGCCAGATGTTCAGATGCATTTTTGTTACCTATCGAGTCCTTACCAAGAGGGAGATATGGATGTTTGATGGTATTACAGATATCGTCACAGAATGGAAGCAGTTCCTAGTAAGGCCGCCTTTTGCAATTGACTAATGGTGAATTTGTCAATGCCAATGGTGTTTAAGTGGTGCTCCAAGGCAACTATTACTATTGATTGCACCCAAGGCACCTATTACTATTAGTACTACCCTTGCTTGCCTTTGCCACAGTCTTTCTATTTTTATTTGTAGGTCTTTGTATTTTGTTATCTTCTCCAGTTCTTTCTCGTCTATTCTGCTGTCTCCAGGCACTGTCACGTCCACTAGCTAGACTTTTTTTCCTTTCTTATCAACAATTATTAAGTCTGGGGTATTATGTTGCAGGTGCTTGTCTGTTTGAATTCTGAAGTCCAAGAGCAGTTTAATTTTATCATTTTCTATGACTTTCTCTCTTTTATGATCCCAGCAGTTCTTGCTTACAGGCAAATGATATTTCTTGCAGATCTTCCAATGCACCATTGTTGCGACTTTGTCATGCCGCTGCTTGTAGTCAGTCTGTGTGATCTTCTTGCAGCAGTTTACCAGGTGGTCCACTGTTTCTTCAGCTTCTTTGCATAGGCAGCACTTACTGTCTGTTGCTGTCTTCTCAATTTTGATTTTGTATGCAGTTGTCCTTAAGGTTTGGTCTTGTGCAGCCAGAATTAGTCCCTCGGTCTCTTTCTTCAATTTTCCTGCTCTTAGCAATTGCCAGGTCTTGTTATTATCTGCTTTCCCAGCTATTTTTTTTAATGTACTGGCCATGTAGTGCTTTGTCTTCCCATGCCTCTATTCTGTTCTTCATTTGATTCATTGCAGTTTCTCCATTGATGGATTGGTAGAAACGTTTCTGATTGGATTGAAATTGGAGGTTCTGCCTATAGTTTGCAATTCGAGCTTCATATCTACTGATTTTCTTGGCTATAGCTGTTATTTGCTGCTTTATTATTTCCAGTGCGTCCTTGGTCTTCCTTGTTTCTAAGTGGTATTTCTTGATTAGGTATTCTTTGGTTTTCTTGTTCTTCAGCTTCTTTTCTTTCATCTTTTCTAGCTTGCTTGCATGTGATTTTAACTTGCTGATCTTATTTTCCAGTCTTCCATTTTTGTGGTGCACTGTTTATTTTTCTTCTTTGTTGATTTTGCATCCCAGGTATTCAGTTATAACTGCAGCTGTGCTGTACATTACTTGGTTTGTTTCTTGCAGTGAATTGGTGCTTATACTTGATATTGCAGTATTTGCATTTTTTAAGTCTTGTGCTAGCTGTTTCTTTGGAATAAACTTCAATGCAGGCAGCCTTAGTCTGTTGTATTTGTGCTGTTCTAGATGCTCAGTTATTCTTTGTTTCAATTCTTTTCTTTAGTTAGAGGGTTTTGTTCTTCCTGAGGAAGAGATGCCTGGTTTCCAAATGAGAACAGTTGTATATCTCTGCTGAATTCCTTCACTGCCAACTCCCTCTGGTTTGCCTCTACATTCTGAATTACTTCTGGCAAGGCTTTGATTTCTTTGCCCTGGGTAAACCTTTGCAGTTTGTCCAATTCTGTTTCTGTGAATATTTTATTTCATATTATAAATCAGTGTTGATCAGCTAGTCTCTGTTCTGTTATTTCTGATTCTGGATGTTGTTCTTTGCAGAACTGGTGCATTCGTTTTAGATATCCTCTTCTTGTTGGACTTGATCTGTAATAACAGATCATTATTTCTTTGTTTTCAATCACTGTATTTGCAAAGGGTAAACAACTTTTCTTCCAGTAGTTCTACAGCTGCTGGCCCTGGTTGCTCAGCCAACAGTCCTGAGTCCTGTAACCTATTTTTCACCATATATCCAGGAACTCCAACATGTTGTGCGGACCTTGTTACCCTGGGTAACATCCAAGCCGGTATGGCTTTCTGAAATTTACGTCTCACCATATTTTTTTATGGGAGAGACACTCTTTGTCTGAATACTCCGATGAGACCTGTCCAGTATGGTTGAACCTCTGGCATAGCTCTCATCTTCCTCTACACAAGCCCCACAACCACGTCAGAGTAGTGCCTCTCTGGGGGATTATTATTATTATTATTATTATTATTATTATTATTATTATTATTATTATTATTATTATTATTGTTATAGCCTAAGTCTATTTAACATCTAACCCCAGACAAGGTTGGCTTAGCTGAGACATTTAGCCATTAACATTAATATTAGCTGTAATTTCAGCTGGAATGTATCCTAGAGTTGACAATTATTGTAAAATATTTATGAATAATGGACTAGTATTATCCAGCTTACTTCTAATCTGGTTTTGCCAGAGTCAGAAAAGAAATTGACATTAGGTTAATCATTGGCCTCACTGTTCACAAGTAGCTTAAATAAATTATTGGCCTTACCAAGAGCTGCTGATGTAATCCTTTCATCTGGATTGACAATCACAGGGATATTTTTTTTCTTTTGTTCTAGTGAAAAAATCAGGAGAAATCATTAGATGTTTGAAACAACATATTATCATTACAATATGTGTGCATTCTAGTAACTGCTATAAGAGCATAGTGATATTTTCCAAAGAACTAGTTAAAACTGAAAACCAGCAATCAAAAATGTCAAAGTCAATATTTGGCCCAGGTTCTGGTTGACATATTGAACTACAATCTAGCCTTCAAGTAAAGCTATTGTAATGCTATTTGCAGGAGCAGCTTTCTGTTGGCAGAGAGTTGAAGCATAAGGATTATTTTATACTACCCAGAGTCACTTCCTGTGAGATGGACTATTTAAATTTGATTCATTAATAAAGTAAAGATAGCCTACTCAGCCTAGGAGTACTCCAGAAATATGGACCTCATTTCTTAGAATAGCTAATCCTTTGTGTTGTTTAGATTTGCAGGGTTTCAAGGCCAAAAATCTGGACATTTCACAGTGATTATCCAGCTTATAGTTTGAAGAAAATGCAAAACACCGAAATAGTTCTTGTTCTCTTCAAGTTACAAAATCACAAAAACAAAGAGCAAAGGTTGAATATGGGATGGTTTTCAGCATCAGACTGGGCAGTTGAAAAGAGACAATTGGCATAGGATAGGATAGGATAGGATAGGATAGGATGGGATGGGATGGGATGGGATGGGATGGGATGGGATGGGATGGGATGGGGTGGAATGGCATAGCATGGCATGGCATGGCATGACATGGCATAGAATAGAATAGAAATGTTATTGTCACTTTAAATGTACACTAATCGGCATACATTAAAATGAAATTTCATTCCATTCAGCTCTCAAAAAAAAAAATACCATTATGCATATACCCCCCCTACACACACATATATGACACAGAGAAACATCACAGCCAAGTTCAAATGTATACATATACATGGTGAAAAAAAAATAATCTTGTGACTTTACAAGATGGATGGCATAAGAAATAAAGCTGTTACAGAAATTAGTAATTCTGCTATAAATACAGGAATTAGCACTGATGCATGCTGGAGTATAGCACATATTCTAAAGTCCATTTCCAGTGCTACCTTTTACCTCAGGTTAGCCTTTTAAGTGGCATGATAGATTTCTTGTCTTCACCACCTAAAACACAGAGGTAAGACTTCACTAGTCTTTCTGAATTTTATAGAATATCTGTACTAGTTGGAAACATTTTAACATTGGGAAAGAGGAGAAATGTGCTGTTTACTCTGAGTTGTTAAAGACATTACTGCCATCTTTTGGCTATTTAACAGGCAACACATTCCCATCTTGTCTATGGTTCAATCCATCAAGAAAGCTAGTTTAAAAACCTTTAAAAAGAGAATGGGACAGCTACCTTAGCTAGAGCCATTTTTTCTTCTAAAGAAAATCTCATACCTTAGTTTATTTTTTGCATCACTAAGTAAATCTGTTTGTCTGAAATTATTTCAAACAGCTATCTTTGGACATAATTGTTAGCTTTCCTTGTTTAAGACACCAGTTTTAGCTTCCATTGACAGTTAAGGATTTATGTTCTCAGTCCATGAATATATTTCAGAAAGTTATCTAAAGCAAGTAGCTGGAATGTTGTACTGGATAATCTGGTAATTTTGGCATTTGACAGCTCTAATGCTGAGAAACTTGAAGATAAGTTTCTGTAAACAGAAACTTCCTTATTTTTTTTCACAATTTTCTGCCAGATCACTTTCTAGAAAACTATTTATACTTAGAGATAAGCAGATTTTGTGCATCAGCAATTATATAGAAAAAAGTTGGATTAATCAATCACTGTACAATTATACATACTACACATCTATATTTCCTTTACTATATCATACTTCTGGTCTTACATCAAGAAACAAATCCAAAAAATGAAAATAACTGATATAGCTGGTTGCAAGACTTTTATATATCATGTCCTAACCATCCAATGAATTAGCAGAAATAAAAAACACGTGTATGTTAGCCAAAATAATATTGCCTTATTTGAAAACTAACCATTGTCCCATCTAGATAAGTGCTCTCTACCCTGGCCACAGCTTTTAAGAGTCACAGAAAGGAATTTTTTACCATCTTACTTGGAACTAACAACTGACTCTGTAACCCTTTTTTTTTTTTTTTTGCAAAATTGGTTCTCATAATGAGCTACAGCCCCATCTTCTATATTTTGCAACCCTAACTCAAGTTATAAAATTTATCCTGATGGAAACTCATTATATACAAATCAAATTAAGTTAAAATATGACTATTAGCGTCATATTTAATAGTTATAAATACTCCATTCACTCAAATAGTTTTGGTTGTTTTTGTGTTTCTTTTACCAAGTATCTGTAGCTGAATAGTTCTGGTAATATTATATTGTTCCTTTTCAAACTCAAAGGTCATTTCACAAGTATAATAGCCTGAATCATTCATAGAAATAGGATTGATCAAGAGATAATTAGTGCCATTCAGAGCTGCAAACTTCTTAGTATCCATGTTCAGACGTGTAGAGTCCTAAAAATTAAAAGAAAAATTTAATGATTAATCGTAGTATCAGCCTTGCTTCAGTGTAAAGGTAACATCAATTTTCCTCTTGCATATATTTTTTTATTGATCTTGGACTATTTAAAATGTTCAGATTGGTTAAATGATCATACTGTTGATGTGGTGACACCGATCTTTGGAGATCTCCTATATTTTTTTTCAATAATGCCTGATGATTTGTTAAAAATAATCAAATATCTTTTTATAAGCTAGAAACAGGCAACTTGAATCTATGTGATTTGATTGATATTTAATTCTTAAAATATAAAGTTATTTTTGTCAAAAAATATGAAAGTTGCTAAGGTAAAGTCAGCCAGACAAAAACATACAAAAAGCAATACATTGAAAAAAAAAATCTACCATCTGAAATCAACATGAAGAGGCAATAGAAAAGATGACAGAACTAAAAAAAAATGGACAAAAAGGAAAGATTTGAATTGGCTCAAAAATAATGACAAGATCAGGGCCATTTCTACTTTCATTGGAGAGTGGCCTACTTTTTACCAATAGTGGGAATCTTTGGGATTTTGAGAGCATGTGATGGATGTCAGGAAATGCTTTCTCTCATGGCTGTTTATTTGGTTTGTAACATGCCAATAATTTTTTTAAAAAGCCAAATTGGAGTAGGAAGCATAGAAGAAAATATTATGAGATATAGGCCACCTAATGCAGACAGAAATTTTCTTCAGATATATTTAATAAATGAGTTTTAGCATATCCAAGTCACCTGAGTTAACACCTCTAATTATCTATTACAAGTTCAAAGGTGTGGGTGTTGGTCATTTCTCAGATAGTGATTTATAGCATCATTGATTTAAAGTAACAGGAATTAAAACAGGCTTGATATCACTTCCACAATGGCTGGGTGACGCTAGGAAGATACTCAAGGACTCTAGTGGAAAATGGCCATTATGTTAACAGTCAGCACTTTGGGAAAAAACAATAACATCTTAAAATGCAAGAGGAAAAAAGTCCACAATTGTAGCGAGAGCATTACAGGTCCCCAAAACAATATTGCTGAATTACAACAATATGGTGATGTGACTGGTCCAGAAGTCAAACAAAGCTATAGCATAGGCTTCATTTAGACTATAACTGAGACTTGATCACCAGTTGATCACTACTGAATGTTTCATCCTATTCAATTTGTAACGTACAACAGAGTTGATGACAGTTGTATAGTTCCCTAAGTTTAAGACAGAACATAATGGTCAGAGGTAAAGGAACCAGCAATCCAGCAAGCTCTGAAGGACCACAGATTCTTCATCTTCTTTACTAAATTTTGAATATTGGAAATTCATGTTCATATCCCCATAAAGACATTTAGAAACGATTTGAAAATAATACCTTGTACCACTTGAGTTCATAATTGGTATTGTTTTGTATAAAATTTTCTAGATTAGGACAAACTATCTTTTCGGAACTAAACAGGAATGCCTTCTGAGGATAGGAAATATTATTGGCTTCACTTCTCTTGACAACTTTTAAATGCAATGACACTTTAGAGCAGTAAGAGGAACTTCTGCAGAGAAAAGACAAATTCATAATGAGGAATTAAAGCATTAAAACGCAAAGATGAATCTTTTCATTCTTTATTACTCATATATAATCATTTTAGACAACATGTAATAGGAATACCAGAAAGTGGACAGTACTAACATACTGAATTGTGTCCACTGATTTTGTTGAAAACACTCCTGCTCACAGAAATCCTGGTGCTCCTCTTTCACCCCTACTCCTTAGAGATAGGGGATTTTCTGGAACAGAATAAGAGGTCGGTGAAACTCCAGACTAATTTTTTTACGACTGATTGCCCAGCTTATAAGTAAGCCTTCTCCTTACCATTTTCTCCAACAGTAAAATTCTAATCTTAATAAAGCTAAGTGTAACTATAGTAAAGGGCTCATATTAATGGTGGCATAAATATGCCCAAGTGCAACTTGTATAGAATCAAGAGCTGAACCTGGATTTGTATCCATGTTGAGGGACATAGCTACAGATCTTAAGTAGGTCTTTCAGGGTGCTTGAGACTTACTTTGTTCTATAAAATGATTTTTTTCTAAAAAATGCTAAAAGTAACTTCTAAAACCTCTCCAATGCAAAAAGAAACCTTCTCAAATCCTCCATTCTATGTGTGGTGAGGAGCCACAATTATTCATTTTTTATTTATTTATATTCCACCTTTATTATTTTTACAAGTAACTCAAGAAAATGAACATATCCTATTTTTCCACAACAACCCTGTGAGGTGGTTTGGGCTGAGAGTGATTCGCCCAAAGTCACCCGGCTTCATCAATTCACAGTCTCACTCTTTGCCTGGTGCACCAGGTCTTATTTTGGGGGGAGTCTCTTTTATACTCACCTCCAGCACTAACAGCCCTGCCCAGCAGGTCCGCTTCTTCTGGGGCCGAAGGAGCAGCTTCATTCTGCAGCTGCATTCCGGCCTGCATTTTGCAATCAGGCCTTTACTGAAGGGCCTATGTAGCTGAGTACTGAGCTATAGATTCTAGATCGGTCCTCAGCTGCACAGGCCTTCTGGAAAGTGCTGTTTTCACTGAGAAATACAGGCCTGGCTGCAGAAGATGCCTCAGAAGAAGTGGGAGGACGAGGAGAGGCCTGGCTGCAAGGTAAGTGGGTGTGGGCACATGGCACGCGTGGGGCAGATCCATATCCCCACCCTCACCCTAGCTTGACTTTTAGAGATGTGCCTTACCCCAAAACTAGGGCTTATTTTGGAGGTAGGGCATATATTAGGCTCAACCCCCCCCAAAAAAATCAAGCAAGGGCTTATTTTTGAGGTAGGCCTTACTTTTGGGGAAACATGGAGCTCAGGCCTACATTTCCCATCAGAGGCCTTCCAGAAAGGCCTCTGAGAGTGAAATGCAGGCCAGGGGACACTGCAGGAGAAGTGGGCCAGCGAGGAGAGGCAGGTGTCGATTCATGGGAGGTCTGGTAAGTGGGTGTGGGGCATGTGGGGCAGCTCTTACCCCCCCTCAGCTTGATATCCCCCACACCCTGCATGCGTGGGGGATATGATTAGGGGACTGGAGGTTAAAACATATAAGGAAAAGTTGATGGAATTGGGTATGTCTAGTTTAATAAAAAGAAGGACGAGGGGGGACATGATAGCAGTGTTCCAATATCACAAGGGCTGCCACAGAGAAGAGGGAGTCAAGCTATTTTCCAAAACGCCTGAAGGCAGGACAAAAAGCAATGGATGGAAACTAATCAAGGAGAGAAGCAACCTAGAACTAAGGAGAAACTTCCTGACAGTTAAAACAATTAACCAATGGAACAACCTGCCTCCAGAAGCGGTGAATGCTCCAACACTGGAAGTTTTTAAGAAGAAACTGGATAGCTATTTGTCCGAAATGGTATAGGGTTTCCTGCCTGATCAGGGGGTTGGACTTGATGACCTCCAAGGTCCCTTCCAACTTTATTATTACTATTACTACTACTACTACTACTACTACTACTACTACTACTACTACTACTACTACTACTATTATTATTATTATTATTATTATAGTAGGGCTTATATTAGGCCCACCCCAAAAATCAAGCTAGGGCTTATTTTCAGGGAGGGCCTTACTTTCGGGAAAACATTGTGTGTGTGTGTGTGTGTGTGTGTGTGTGTGTGTGTGTGTGTGTGTGATACTTCAATGTGGTCCATATGTTAATCAAGAATTATATGATTATATGCAGTAGTAGTCAGCATTGACTGAATTACTGACATGATGCTTTATTTAACAGCCCACTGAATCATGTTTTGGAAATTCTAAACTCTCATACTCTTCACTTGTAGATATTACAAGAATGGTAAAAAATATATCTAGTCTGATTTGTTGGCAATCCTTAATATTCAGAAGTTTCCTAACTCAGATGTCATTTTATTAAGGTGGATACCATTACTCCATAAAATAGCAACCACGAAATAACACAGAATTCAGGGAAACAGTCTGAAGGAAACTATGTTCACATTAGTCCAGGAATCAAAAAAATCAATTGGTTGACTTAAATATGCAAATTAAATGTATTTTGTTCTATTTCTTGATCCTAAATTGAATAGTTACATTGTGTTAATAAAAGTGGATTAATATATTTTCCAGCTGTGTATAAAGCATACATATGTTGTACAAGAAACAACTCTCTTCCAAAGAATATGCTGTGAGTGCCGTGTTAGTACTCTAGTGCCTTTCCCACTAATCTCTTAGCTACTCCTGGCTAAATGCACTCTCTTTCCAAAGTTAAACTATGTAAATCTGAACAATCCCATGAGCTGTATGCATACCTTCGAGTGCAAATGTATTCCCCACTATCTTGAAGAATGGTTGGTAAAAGCCAGACAGCATCACCTTGTGACATTATTCTTGCCCCCTTGAATCCTGCAGTGATAACAGTTGATGAATCTTTTTTATTCCAAGTCAGGTTAAGGGGTAGATCAAAAGGCTTTGTATTTTTGTATTGTAGACATTTTAGGACTGTGGGTTCTCCTTCCAGGACAAACGTAGGCCAGGAGTATATGGTGTGATCTTGGCAGTTATCTGTGTAAACACAGAATTATTTTGTATTAAAGAGAAAGAAGAATCAGAAGAACCAACAAGAGGAGACTCTTCTTTCCATGGATTGTCTATCATGATGAGAACTTTCACCTGCACTTTCCACCCGATGGATTCGGAAGGCAGAAATGTTGAGCATATTAGCACTGAAAATGCACACCAGTCTGGGCACCACTTTCCATACGAAACAGGAAAGAGAAAAATCATGGATGACATATGGAGACCTGCAAATGAAAACAAAATGTCAATAAGCCCTCTATATTACCAGAAATTGACTTTCATGACAAGTATGTCCAGGTCTGGTCTAAATTATGAACTTGGAAACACTTGAATCACATGTAGTAGTGCAAGTTGCCTTATGGGTGTGATGGACAACTTTCTCTGTGCTTTAGAATGACACAGGTAGCAGGTAGCATCTTAGATTCTGCTATGAAATGCCATAGAAAGCCATTTTGGTGTAGTGGTTAAAGGCATCAAACTAGAAAACGGGAGACTGTGAGTTCTAGCTCTGCTTCAGGCACAAAGCCAACCAAATGATCTTGAGCCAGTCACTCTCTCTCAAGCTTGGAAGGAGGCAAGGGCAAACCACTTCTGAAATCTTGCCAAGAAAATTTTAGAATCTCATTCAGATAGTCACCAGGAGTCAACAGTGACTTGAAGGTGCATACTCACATAGAAAAGGAATGCTATACATGAATGTCATTTCTAATGCTTTGCCATGAAAGGAATCTCACCCCTGTTCTAAGGTAGCTAAAGCAAGCAGGTGCCTTCCTGATGTTTTAAACAACACCCACAGTCTTTTTTCATGATTATACTAGTTGTCAGTCTAATGCAAGCTGAAGTCCAAAACTTCTAAGGGATACCAGCTGCCAGGCTCTGGGATGGCTGCATACTAGAATGTCAATCAATACAACATCCATATTTCCACAAAGCTAAAAGTCTACAGTGCTCTGGTTATCCCTTCTCTCCTAATATGGATGTGATTCTGAACTCTGTACTGATGGCACATCATACAAATGAGGAAATTTCACATGCATGCTCTCAGTCCCCTCCTTGGCTCTAATTTTGAGGTTTGGTATCATGCAAAGTCCACCAGCATTATGTCCTTGATTACCAGAAGCTATTTTGTTAGTCCTACTAGCATAGCAAAGGAAACTGAGAAGCTGCTGGCCTCCCCTCTCTTCCCCAATTCCTACAATTTTTACCTTTTTTGAAGGAAAAAAAGCCATAGTGTTGCAAGGATCTTGGCCATCTCAAACAGGTTGAAGGTGTTGCATCCTCCACTACTTTCTTTTGAATATATGGGGGGGGGGGCAAAACTGAATGCTAAAACGACCAGAGATGCTTAGAAGAACTCCAAATGTTTGACAGCAAAAGTCTAATGGAACTGATTTATTTCCTTGAACAGTACAAGTTAATGAACAGAGAACTGTTTAGGTCTCTTGCTCAAGAATATACTTCTTATTGCTACAAGGCTATTGTTTATGAATGACACAGGAAAAAGCCAGTTAAAAGAGCTTGAATTATATTCATGGTGTCTTAACCTTGAGGCATCTGAATGCAATGTACAGTATTTTACTCATTACTCAATGATTTGTTTCCTGCGATGTGAAACTTGAACCTTGCCTCATGTATGCTAAAGCTGGATATAACTCAGAACTGAAAATGCATATATAGTCCTCCTCTGCAGTGCAAATCTCTGAATAAAATTGACAGGTTTTACCAATATGCCAATTTGAAGTCCTACAAAGTCATACAAAGGAGAATTGTACTGTAATTTGATTCATACAGAGTGCTAATCCCTTAATGTGGATTATTTGGCTTTGGCAATGCCTTAAATTGCATGACAGTACTGCAATTTATAAACTATGTTTTCTGCCTTAGTGTAATAAGTGGACCCAGTACCCTGCTATTTATTCAAACAACAGTTAAGCAAATCATGGGTCAGGAATAAAATTGTGATTTGAGCAGCCTTGATATCTGCAAGAGCAGATATCTTTTTGGCATTCGTAATTTGAGATAAAACAATCCAGATGAACTAATATCTAGTGAAATTGGGAAGCAGATTATTGGCCAGAAGGAAAAAAAATCCTCGTGATACTGAAAAATGTATAAATGAGAGGAAAAGTAGGGAATGTTTTGACATAGAATCAACAGAAAACAAGAAGCAATGGTTCATACGATGGGTTTAAAAACTCTTGCTGCTTTTTACATACCTAATAAGAATATTAATATAACATACCTAATATCCTGAGTCTTGTTGCCTTTGTTGAATAAGATTTACCTCTAATTAATCTGACTTTTGTATGATGACAAAAGCTCCCTTGGCTAAGAATTGGACATGAACCCCACCCCCTTGAGTCGGTCACGACTGGACAGGCAAAACCTTTAAACCTTTTATATAGCAGACCTGGGCATTTTACTATTCCCAGGTGATATCCGGCCCTTTGGCTGGCCCTTGTGAAATCAATCAGAAATTAGAATTAAAATGTAAAGATATCCCATACATGCAACTGCATTGCTCTTATTTTGAAGGCAATTGCTATTTTATTTTAATTTACATATGCTAAGGTGACCAACCATCCTCCTTTAGGGAGGACAGTCCTCCTTTTGTGAGTTCTCTCCTCCCTCAAAAAGTGTCCTCCTACATGTCCTCCTTTTTGATATTTGAAGACTAATCTGCAGGGCTTTTTTTTCTCGTAGAACGCTCAGAATGGCGTTCCGGCACCTTTTTTGATAGTTTTTTTTTGCAACTTTTGCATGAGCTGTGCTACTCCCCCTACTGGCTTTTGAAAGCCAATAGGAATTGCTGCTGAGTGCGCCAAAACACCCGACCGGCAAACTTTGCACATGTAAACTGTTTGCAGCGAAGGCAAATTGGCAGGAACTTTGCACCCCTCCCTGCTACCCAACTACACCATCTCCTAGTTAGTCCCGAAGATACCTGGAGGAGACTGGAGCGGCGACGCCACAGTAACTTAATAATAATAATAATAATAATAATAATAATAATAATAATAATATCTGGGACTTCAGAATTTAAACAGACAAGCACCTGCAACATAAAACCCCAGACTTAACAATTGTCGATAAGAAAGACAAAAAAGTCTGGATAGTGGATGTGGCAGTGCCTGGAGACAGCAGAATAGACGAGAAAGAACTGGAGAAGATAACAAAATACAAAGACCTACAAATAGAAATAGAAAGACTATGGCAAAAGCAAGCAAGGGTAGTACCAATAGTAATAGGCTCCTTGGGTGCAATCCCAAAACAACTGGAACACCATTTGAACACCATTGGCATTGACAAATTCGCTATCAGTCAATTGCAAAAGGCGGCCTTACTAGGAACTGCTTCCATCCTTCCATCTGTAATACCATCAAACATACACATCTGCCTATCCCAGGTCCTGAGTAAGGACTCGATAGGTAGACAAAATGCCAAATCCAGTCTGAACATCTGGCTGACTGTGCGATAATCCATAATAATTAATTATAAGCAATTGCAAAAGGCGGCCTTACTAGGAACTGCTTCCATCCTGCGACGATATCTGTAATACCATCAAACATCCACATCTGCCTATCCCAGGTCCTGGATAAGGACTCGATAGGTAGACAAAATGCCAAATCCAGTCTGAACATCTGGCTGACCGTGCGATGATCCATAATAATAATAATAATAATAATAATAATAATAATAATGATAATAACAACAACAACAACAGTAAATGCCACCTATGCAAAGAAGCTGAAGAAACAGTGGACCACTTGGTAAGCTGTTGCAAGAAGATTGCACAGACTGACTACAAGCAGCGGCATGACAAAGTAGCAACAATGGTGCATTGGAAGATCTGCAAAAAATATCATTTGCCTGTAAGCAAAAACTGGTGGGATCATAAAATAGAGAAAGTCATAGAAAATGATAAAATTAAACTGCTCTGGGACTTCAGAATTCAAACAGACAAGCACCTGCAACATAACATCCCAGACTTAACAATTGTCGATAAGAAAGACAAAAAAGTCTGGATAGTGGACGTGGCAGTGCCTGGAGACAGCAGAATAGAAGAGAAAGAACTGGAGAAGATAACAAAATACAAAGACCTACAAATAGAAATAGAAAGACTGTGGCAAAAGCAAGCAAGGGTAGTACCAATAGTAATAGGCTCCTTGGGTGCAATCCTAAAATAACTGGAGCACCACTTGAACACCATTGACATTGACAAATTCACTATTAGTCAGTTGCAAAAGGCGGCCTTACTAGGAACTGCTTCCATCCTGCGACGATATCTGTAATACCATCAAACATCCACATCTGCCTATCCCAAGACTCGATAGGTAGACAAAATGCCAAATACAGTCTGAACATCTGGCTGACTGTGTGATGATCCATAATAATAATAGTAAAGTTGGAAGGGACCTTGGAGGTCATCTAGTCCAACCCCCTGCTCAGGCAGAAAACCCTATACCATTTCGGACAAATGGCTGTCCAGACTCTTCTTAAAAAACTCCAGTGTTGGAGCATTCACTGCTTCTAGAGGCAGGTTGTTCCACTGGTTAATTGTTCTAACTATCAGGAAGTTTCTCCTTAGTTCTAGATTGCTTCTCTCCTTGTTTAGTTTCCATCCGTTGCTTCTTGTCCTGCCTTCAGGTGCCTTGGAAAATAGCTTGACACCCTCTTCTTTGTGGAGCCCCTGAGATATTGGAATACTGCTATCATGTTCCCCCTCATCCTTCTCTTCATTAAACTAGACATACCCAATTCCAGCAACCGTTCTTTATATGCTTTAGCCTCCAGTCCCCTAATCATCTTTGTTGCTCTTCTCTGTACTCTTTCTAGTATCTCAACATCTTTTTTACATCACGGTGACCAAAACTGGATGCAGTATTCCAAGTGTGACCTTACCTGATATTATAAAGTGGTATTAACACTTCACGTGATCTTGATTCTATCCCTCTGTTAATGCAGCTTAGCACTGTGTTGGCCTTTTTGGCAGCTGCAGGACACTGCTGGCTCATATTTAGGTGATTGTCCACTAGGACTCCGAGGTCCCTCTCACAGTTACTACTATTGAGCAAGGTACCCCCTATACTATACTATA